TTCCAAAAATTTTATGCTAAAATTACTTAAACTGCGAATCAATATAATTCAAATGTTTCATAACTATTTACAGCCATAAACTCCCAATAAAACATTCTCTGGGAGGTAAATTTAGGAGCGAATTTCAAGCATCCTGATTTTGTTTTTAAAGATTTAATACCTGTCAAAATTTTCCATTAAATCAGATAATGAAGTGTTCAGAGGTAATGCTATGTCTACTAATTGATTCACACTCTTAACACTTATGGCTTCTATACTTCACTATCAGAGTCAGCACTAAGAATCATGCACTCGTCATCTTCAGTATTTTTTCTGTTCAAAATGTCTGTACCCAAATAAAACTTAAGGTTATCTCTGATTATATTTTTGTCTTTCTGCTCTGGTGATGCATAGTTAGTAATTGTGTTTTCCGCACCAGTTATTTCTGTATCTACTATCTCAATATGTAAATCACAAGTTCCTTCTATTTCCACAGTTTTGATATTGTCTTCAGAGAATTTTTTTCCACTAGTGTTGCATGCTTCCCGAGATACTGCAACATCAGGCTTATCCTTAACGCTGACATCTTCAGTTACCACTTCATGGGAGACACTAATAATACCAATGGGCGTCTGGTCAACATTCTTCCGAGGCCGCGACAAGAAGATTGCCAGAGGTATAAAAACGACGGGAATTGCTACCACCACATTTGCCAGTGAACACACCAAATTAGTCCAGTGCTGCAGAAATGCAGTTAATTAAAAATACAGCATTACAGATTTATATATACACATCTTAAAATAAAAGAGGATCAATGATAAATGTACATTGCAACTTCACTGTAAACGTGCATTTATAAAATCTGAATTTAATTACCGGGATTTCATCATTGCTCCATTCCAGTATTTTCAGGGACAGCACCGCTAATTGAAAAAGTGTAAATTATAGGGAGACGAGACTGAAAACACTGACAGGTTAGATCTGTCAGTGATCGTGAACAAGGTCAAATTAAACAAAACAATGAATAAAGCTAATGTAATTACAGGAAGTTAAACTAGCTTCAGTTAAGTTAAGATTTCCTTTAGTCAATGCCAGGATAATCCTGAAGGTTAAGATATGCACTGAATTATGAAAACCCCCTATGTAAAGAAAAAGTTGTGGACAAACTAGTTAAAATGGGTGTCAGGTGCATGCAACTAGTCACAGGGAGGGCAAAACTCCTGCAAACAAGCGGCTGTAAGCGAGATGCCTCGGGCTTTCTATCTTTAACCAGTAGTTTCAAAGTTTTTTTTAACGAGCCAAACACTCGTCCTGCTCAACCTTTTACCTTAGTCTGTAGGGCTCACCACTTCAGAATAACATCGAAAGCCAGAACCGTGCCTGCAGAAAATACTGCTTATTTGAGAGGCCCTTTCCTCATGCCAGGAGATGCTCAAACAACTTTTGAAGGGGAAGGAACATCATGCAGTAGAAAGACTTGCAGTTAGTGTCTTGACGCCGTATCA